CTCCCACAAAGAGAAAAACAATCTTTGGCATTTGTCTTAGTGCTCAGGGCAGGGCTCCATGACCCGGACGTAGGACTTCCTTCAATAATTGCTCGGGGCCAAAACAGAGACCAGACGTCCCAGAATCTCTACTGGACGTGGGATTTTGCATAATGTTGTTGCTCCCAGTCGAACAACAGGTTTCTTTGGAGTATTATGAGAAAAGGTGCTTTTCTGTAGGAATGTGGGTAGAGGAAGCGAACTAGCTGACTCTTAGGTTTCAACATCAGTTTACACATACTTATGCACTGTAGTTTTTAAGTGTCTAATGACCCTGTGAGGCTTGGGGGAGCTAAGAGTGTCAGTAATTCATTCACCCGATGTTGGTTTTAGGTGTTCTTCATTTCTCATTCTTACTGCATTTCTGCAGTTTGGGACCTCATACTTTCCCTTGAATTATGGGCCGCTCAGCTATCTGGACTCTACTCCCTTTATTCCTCTGATGGAATCCATTTTCTCCTGTACTACTATAGTACTTACACAGAAATGAGAGCCTGCACCTCTACTAGCCTTTATAGCACTCCATTATCTGCTCTCAGGGGTCTGCTTACACTTCTAGATAACAACCCTTCTCCTAGCCTCTGCTCCCCAGCTTCCTCTCCTGTCACCTAGGAATCTGTACTTCTTACTTTATCTCTCCATGCCCCCTTTTACCTGCTCTTTCTGCAATTCTTAAAGTGCCCTTGCCCATTCTTATTTAGTTTCTACCAGGCATGGCCAACTGACCTTTTGATAATGCAACCAACTTGTCATCTACCAAGTTCATTCTGGAGAATCACAATCAAGGTATAAATAAACACAAAAATCTCCAAAACATTATCCCCACATTTGTAATGTTTAAATAAGTTTATGATTTTGTGTTGGGCAGGATGTGGTCTTTTGACCATAGGTAGGACAGACTTTCTCACTTTGCTAAGGGAATGTCCCTGACCAGCTGTAATGATCCACACGAGATAGTTATTGACAACCATATTCATAAGTTAAAAATTCTATGTCTTTTTTTGTTTGTTTGTGGGTTTGTGACTCTGAAATGTTTCTTGGTGCCCAAGTTCAGGGATACATAGTTTTTAAGGCAAAACTCACAAAGACACATGAGGGTCAGAGTAACCTTGAAACATTTCTGGCAGAGTATAGTAGTTATTTCAGACATAACTTTCCAGTTATTTTGGTTAATACATCTGGACTATGGTCAAGGCTATGGAAATTTCACATGTGTTGCTAAGGCAGACATGACCATTGCAGGGAGGGTATAAAGGGCTGAGAGCTATCTAAGCAAACAGAAAATGAAATCAGAATATGATGGCATTACCTTGGTAATTTCATTCCCCCATTTAAAAAATTATTTTGAAATTTTTTATCTTGGCAAAGGGGTGAACACTGGTTCTTGAAGATCATTACCCTCATAGAGGTATTTATTATATAAGGCCCCATGGCAAGTCTTATAAAAAGGTTGAGTAGGGGACCATCCAGGCCAGTGAAAAGTTGTGAACCATGGGTTTTAATCAGACATGTTATAGGACCAGAAATTACTTCATTTTTGTTTTTGATTTAAGTTATTTTTAACTTTCTGTAAATTATTTTTTTGGGGGGGGTGTTTTGAGACCGGGTTTCTCTATGGCTTTTGAGGTTGTCCTGGAACTAGCTCTTGTAGACCAGGCTGGTCTCGAACTCACAGAGATCCGCTTGCCTCTGCCACCCTAGTGCTGGGATTAAAGGCATGTGCCACCACCGCCTGGTGTAAAGATTTTTTTTAATGATAACTTTTGATTTGTTAGCACAGAAGCAACAAGTCTCTCATGGTGTCACACAGTCTTCCCTGGGACATGAAAATTAAGTTTAAGCCTTGCCTCTTTTGGAGGCCTGTTTCTGTCAGAGACTATCTGGCATGGAGTGTAACTGAAGGTGTCTAATGTCTATCTATTTGATAAATTATCTGTTGTAGGCTCCTTTTTCCCCTTATTAGAGCTGTAGTGTTCAAGGCAGTAGTCTCTGTCACTCCCATTTCTACCATCAATGGAACAAGGAAACGTGCAGCCTCCTGTACTGCCGGGGGGGAACATTTTTCCAGTAGTGCTCACAGCCAATGTAAGGACTCTGGCAGGTGCTGCTAGCAAGGTGGAAGTTATGGATGGTCTAGTCAGTTTCTCCAAATAATTGTTTAGATCACATAAGGAAATTGACATAGGGTTAAAGTGTATTTCAGATTCCCAATTCTGGGCCACCCACATGGCCCCGGTGTCACTTCTGGTTTTGGTCCAGGGTTAGTTCTCAAAGCACCCCCAACCCATCTTATTGACTGACCTCTGTAAGGCTTATTAAACATAAAAAACTGCTCTTTTTGTATGCCATGATCTCCATGGCAGTTTCATTGGTTGTTTGGAGATGGAGTATTTTGTGATTTGAGGCCCAAATCCAGGTTATGAATCGCCTCTGCAGTGGCTCCTGCAAACTATTGGTTGTGTCCACCAGGGGCAGCAGCAATCAGGCAAATAGCCAGTGAAGGTTGCACCAACCAGGCTCCAACGTCCAAGTCACTGGAGGAACAGAGTGACTGTGGGCTGCACTAGCCAAAAGAGGTCTGCTTTCTATGGTTATCCCTGAAGCCCCAGTGGTCTGGTGCCCCTCAGCAGTGCTCTGTGGTAATCTGTGGTAGCCTGTGCTATGCAGCAGTTAGGTGGTGTTGCAGCAAATGGTGCTATTCTAGTGCTGTGCTGTAAAAGCATAATAGAAGGCTTTTCTAGCAGTGACATTTGGCTAGACATGAATCCTTTGTTCTTTTCCTTTTGCTTGAGGAAGTCCCTCAGATAAAACCCCTTGTCAGCTTTATAGTTGTCAGTCATCCTCTCTCTTACATTGTCCTTCAAACAGGACGCTAGAAATTTGAATGCAGATGTTTCAGCAGAGAATTCCCTGCCAAGTGTAAACTAGTTAGCATGCATTAACAAAAACTGTCCCAACATGTGTGGTAGTGCACATCTGTAATCCCGTCAGGAGGCAGAGGGGGGTGGATCTCTGAGTTTGAGGTCGGTGTGGTCTGTAGAGTGAGTTCCCCTATATATAGAAAAAGGAAAAGGAAAGCTGTCGTTCCAATGTCCCCATCCCTGCTGTGTCTTAGGAAACAGAATCTCCACCTTCCTCTCCTCCTCATCTTCCTCTCTCCCCCTCCCCCCTTCTTTTTAGTAACCCAATGAAGTAAGCAGGGTGTAGGTGTGGAATCCTCCACTGGAGAATGGTCTCCATATTTGGGGTTAGGCCACTGAGGAAAACTGACTCTCTCTGCTCCTGCTGTCATACACTGTCCATGGATCCTCTTTAGGGCAGAGTAGACCCTCCCATTCCAATCCTTGCTGGAACTTTGACTGTCTTGATGTAGGGTGGGCGAACTGAGGTTTTGAATTCATGGTTGCTCCAGCATGCATACAGAAGATGTTTCCCAGTGATTTTCTTCTGATTCTCACAAACTTCGCATCTTTCATGGTATTTTTGAGCCTTAGGGGACAACAAATGTGATGCAGATATCCAGTTTGGGGCTGAGCACTCCATAGATAACTTGCTTTTCTCGTATGGTTGATCTATTTCTAGTTTGTTTTTTTTTTTTTAAAGGAATATCGAAACTGATTTTCAAAGAGGCTGAAGTAGTTTATACTCACACCAGCAATATATAAGGTTCCTTCCCATCACATCCATATCAGCATTTACTGTCATTCCTGGATGATGGGCATTCTATTTGGAGTTATTTTAAATTGGGTTGTTTGTCCCCTCTAGTCTCCCAGAAATGGTCCAGCCTATAGCTCACATGTACATTGATTGGCTTGGTAGGTTGAATGCATATAGTAAAAACACATCAAACACCCCGACTCCAGATGCCCAGGTCTTACTAGGAAAACATATGCAGTATGAAAACTAACACAGTATGTCTCCCACATCTTAAAGCATATTCTCCCAGTCTTTTATTTTTCATTTCAACCCTTTGAAGTTGACTATTTGAAATGCTGATGAGCAGGGATTGAACTGTACAAGTGCATTTTTTTGTTCTTATTGTACTTGGGTTGTTGTTTTTGTTGTTGTCTAGTCTCCACAATTTTCCCCAAGAGTTTTGTAAGAAAATACAGGGAGGGAGGGTGTGTGTGTGTGTGTGTGTGTGTGTGTGTGTGTGTGTGTGTTACCTTTTTCAGTAAAGTATCTGCTTTTCATTTTTTAGTATAATAAATAATACTGTGGCTGAAAGATTTTCTGTTCTTGGTAATTTAATGATACTTTATTGTTTTAGAGATGATTCACTTACCTACTATTTCCAGAAGAAAATAAGTACTCTGATATATACAGGTCCTCTGTTAGTGACTCACTGGTGATTACTCTAAAACAGGGCACTCTTGTCTAAGACTTTTATGTTGCTGCCAAGAAATAGCTCCTAGGCTGTATCTCCAAAATGAAGCATTACTACTTTTTTTGTTCCTTTTTAGTTTCAGCTAGAGAAAATACTGCTATATCTGTTAAATTAGAAGATGAACTTAGTGGCATTTATTATTATCACAGACTTTATTATCCCTGGAAAATTGTCTAGTGTGCATAGGGGTGTATGTAGTCCAGCATTCAGAAAAAGAAGGTAAAGTGTGCTTTCATGGATTAGAAAGATAGTCTGAGACTCCTCTTTATCACCCAAAAGAGTCTATGGAGATCAGTGAAAATTATACAGTCATTAACTCAG